CTTAGACAATGTGTTGGAAAAGAATTTCATCAAGTCTGGCTCCACATTCAAGGTTAAAGTTGGTGATAAAGAATGTGATGTACTCACCGGATTTCGCCTTTACGTCACAACGAAGCTGCCAAATCCATCGTACACTCCAGAGATATATGCTAAAACCTCGATCATAGACTTTACGGTTACAATTAGAGGTCTGGAAGATCAGCTTCTAGGCGTTGTCATACTTACTGAAAAGCAGGTGGGTTGAATAACCAGTAAAAATTATGTTTCTCCTTTTATATGTCAACGAAAGCATGAAAATATCACAAGTCTACGAACTTTTAAGGAGAGCCTCTGATATTTAAAGAATATTTATTTTTCAAATAACTTTATAAATATTAAGAAATATGGTAAGGATGAAAGGCAGGGTATGCTTTAATTTTAGTTCAAACACTTACATTTGACTAGTAGGAAATAGCAGCGAAGGTTCGTATTAAAAGTTGCTAGACAGAAACAAGCAGTTCAATTTTCGTTATGATCTTCCTGCATTTATTATGTTAAGCTTGTTCACATAAAGCTTCGGCAAGCTTTAACGGATTTCAGCATACACACAGAGAAGGGGGGCATTGGCAGACGTCTGTGGCAAGGTTTGCACTGTTATGCTAATTAAGAACCACCAAAACCTCGTACAAATGCCGACTTATAGTGCAAAAAGAGTCACATTAACCGAGAAATAGTCTTTATTCCCCGGAGCGCACAGTTTGGAAATCACTGCTGTAAGGTATCCAAATACTTACTGATTAAACCAAGAAATTGGAGCTTCTTCCATCGCAAATATTTGATTAGTTTATGTATGCGCAAGCTTGTCATGAAAACAGTTTAGATACGAACTAGCCGATAATGCGAAACATTTTCTATAACATTTTATATCCCTTATGTGGCACTCGTTTATAGAAAAAAGCTTACTGCGTTATCTTTATCTAATATCTCAGCAGACTGAGACTAATTTCCTTACCTTTATGCGTTTAAAATTATGTTTCCTATATAAGCTAGTAATGTGAACATATGGTTCAGAGACTAAAAGTCTCCTAATGATCACCAAATGAAGTGTCCTCCGTCTTAGATGCAATTCTAGGCTAATTTAGCCAACTTTCATTTGTTTAAATAAATCCAAATTCCACTAAGTTACCAACAAGCAGCACTGCCTTATAAAGCTGCCACATATGCCTAAGTGATGTAATAGTTAAAATGTGACACGTTAACCAAAACTTTCCCCTACTTTCTTTAATTGAGCTTTAACCGCATTTGCTTAATATGGCCATAGGAGCTAGAGGCTGAGCGCACAAAACTGATGGAGGAAGTTACGGCGAACAAGCGAAAAATGCAGGAGCTAGAGGATAATCTGCTCTACAGGCTTACTTCGACTGAAGGCAGCCTAGTTGAGGATGAATCTCTGATTCAGGTACTAGCCGTCACTAAGGCTACCTCAGAAGAGGTTCGTGAGAAATTGACCACCGCTGCAGACACCGAGGTCAAAATCAACACGGCTAGAGAGGAATATAGGCCTGTGGCGAGCCGTGGTTCTATCCTCTACTTCCTCATTGTTGAAATGAGCATGGTAAATGTTATGTATCAGACAGCATTAAAACAGTTTCTTGGTCTCTTCGATCTCTCGATGATGCGGTCGGCCAAATCGCCTATAACGCAGAAGCGTATTGGCAACATCATTGAATATTTGACTTACGAAGTGTTCCGTTACACAGCGCGTGGATTCTACGAGACTGACAAGTTCACCTTCACTGTTCTCTTGAGCATGAAAATTGCCCTTCATTCTAACGATATTAAGGCGGAGGAGTTCAAGGTATTCATCAAAGGTAAGAAAATGAAGGGTTAATTCCACATAATCATGCCGTTAATAGTAACGCTAATTCTCTCTTTTTTCAACAGCATCGTTTCAATGCATAGAAAGGTCCTTTAATAGCTGCAAGAGTTTTGTTTGATTTTTCCTTTCACATTCTCCTTTGGCTTGCATTTAAACGCCAGACCATTTAGAGCAACTTCCATCCTTTAAGACCGGTATAAAAGTCAATTTATTATGATTATTATAAGTTGCATATATCTAATCTTTAAAAGTTAGCACAATAGATACTTGGCCACTGTGGGAGCTTTGAAGGCGCAAATAACCTTCCTGAAGATTGAAGAAGTCAATTCTATCGTTGCCTACGTCTTATCACAGATGCTAATTCTGAAATGAACCAGTTGAAAACATGTAATCAGCAGCTTTTAAATGTATGAGCATAGACTCTAACTGGTATGAACCTTATTCTGTAGTCAAAGTTGGTGGAAGAGACCTGAGACAAACTGATGGATAAAGTGGCAAGAAGTATGTATTATCTAGAACCCGATGTGCATAGTTGAGTTATGTGAATATAGAAGATGTTGGTGGTGTGGAAGTGCTAATGAGAGGATGCAGACCGAGCCATTGAGGTGGCCTGCGTAATGCTGCCATGCAGAAGAGGCTACACGGACATATATCACATAGCAACGCAAGGTGGAGAAGCCGAATTGTTTGGAAGTCAGTCCAAGCAAATTCCTATTACTTCTGTGGAACAAATAGAGTCTTGCTATTACAGACGCATACTAAATTACACGGTCGTTGGACAGCTTTGCTTAAGCTTCTACAGCGGTTTGGTGCGGTCATCCTATACGCAGAGGTCAGACTGAGCCGTCACGATGC